GGCGTATTTGATGTCATTCACACACTTAATGCGAATTATCAAGGACCTTCTTGGTTGTGTGAGATGAAGTTTCCTGGGGAAGGTGCTGGATTGTGTACCTTTTTGTCAAATCCAGAGTCTCAGCAGCACCGAGTCGACTCCTGATTTCCTCGGCTCCCCTGAGCAGAGCCAGACCTGCCAGCCAGACCCCCTCACCCTTTCCCAGGTGCCAGGGGCTCCTTGGGGGGCTCATCACAGCCAGGCTCTGAGAAGAGGCAAGGGCATCTATCCTTCCTGCCTCAGATGGGAAGCCGCGGCCAGGAGAAGTGAGGTAGCAGGAGCAGGTCCCAGATCCTTCCTCTTTCCACGGGGTCAGAGCTGCCTGCGGCCACTGGGAGTTTCAAAGGAGAAAGTGCAGCTGCTTATTTATAAAACTGCCATCCATGCCCAGTAGTGCACACAGAACGGTGTATCGTTAAATTACTAACCCTCTCATCTCCAGATTCTGGGTCTTTCTTCCTTGAGCCATGCAAAGATTTTTTAAGTGGTCCATTCTCTCTTTCTTTCTCTCTCTCTCTCTCTCTCTCTAATATATTTTATTGATTTTTTTACAGAGAGGAAGGGAGAGGGATAGAGAGTTAGAAACATGAGAAACATCGAGAGTTAGAAACATCGATGAGAGAGAAACATCGACCAGCTGCCTCCTGCACACCTCCGACTGGGGATGTGCCCACAACCAATGTACATGCCCTTGACCAGAATCAAACCTGGGACCCTTGAGTCTGTAGGCCGATGTTCTATCCACTGAGCCAAACCGGTTAGGGCCATTCTCTTTTTTTAAAAAAACTGCCACCGTGCATTCTACCGCTTCTGTGTGTGGGCATGGGGTCTGGCAGCTGTCAGGAACCCCACCTCGGAGTGGGGTGACTGCACCTGGGCCATGGGAGCCAGACGGTCGCCCCAGGTAGTGGGAAATTTGCTGTTTTTTAAGGGCATTTGGGGGGAGTCAGGAAGAATAATTTCTAGTCCTGAGGACTCCTAGGTCTTCCTCTTTGGCTTCTGTCCTAAGTATTTCCCTGCTGCTTTCCCAGCCGTTATTTCCTGTGAGCATCACAGCCTGTCGGTGTTAGGGCCTGTCCAGGCAGCCTCATTCCATCCACATCCATCACCCGGGGTGGCTCCCCCCGATCTCACTCCTGCACATGAAGCTTATTGTGGAAGCGGCAGGGGATGCCTCTGTAGCTGCAGACTCACTGGGACGGGCTCGGAGTGAAGTGAGCCAGCCATGGGCACACCGTCCACAGGGCACATCGTCCACCGGACAGAGGCCGCTGGCTCACACTGGGGAAGTGACTGCACATGGATTTTTCTCTCATTTACTCCCACCCCGGGGCAAAAGCAGCATAAATGCTGCTGCCACCCTCCCAAATTTCTTCACAGATTAATTTCTCGTCACTATTTTTATACCTACTTGATGCTTTTAAGAAGATTTAAATAAATATTTTGTCCAGCTTTTTGACTGGATCATTGCCGCAAATTGATTTTTTTATTAAACATTTTTAATATGTTTTTAATTGGTTGTTTTTGTTTTGTTTTGTTTTGTTTTGTTTTGTTTTTAGAGAGAGAAAGAGAGAAAGGGAGAGAATAGAAACATCAATGATGAGAGAGAATCACCGAGCCCACAACCTGGGCCATGTGCCCTGACCGGGAATCAAACCCTGACCTCCTGATTCCTGGGTTGATGCTCGCCCACTGAGCCATGCCACCTGGGCTGCAAATAGATTTTTCATTGACCTGCATCCATTCTTTCATTCCACTAACATTTACTGAGCACCTACTGTGTGCCAGATACTGTTCCACCTATGCAGGTCGGGTTAACCTGCGAGTTGCTCCAGCAGGTGGTTTTCCTTTCTTTGAGGTGTTTAAAGATTTTTCACCCCAAAGAGACCCCACTCCTTTCCCTCTTGACAGTGGTCCCCTTCACATTCCTCAGGCCTGCCAGGCACCGGCACGTCCCCTCTGTCCTGGATTCTGCGTGGTTATGCCTCCATCGTCTTCAACTCTTGGCTCCAGTGAGGCCTGCTCTGACCACCACATTCACGACTACCCCCTCACTGTGCAGCCCCAGGATTCCCTGCTCTATTTCCTACATGACACTCTCCCCTCTCTCCTCACTCTGCCGCTTGCTCGTAGGTCTGGGTTACCCATGGTCTCTCCCCTGCTAGAAAGGGCATCAGAGAGCAGGGTTTTGTTCACTGATTCTCCCAAGCGCCTATCTAGTGCCTGGCACATAGTAAGAACACAGTAGGTAATTTTTCATTTACTCGTGTGTTCAAGGATTAGGTATTGGGTGCTCACTGTGGGGCAGGCGCTGGGCTGGGCATGCAGCGGGGACTCAGGCTATTGGGTGCTCACTGTGGGGCAGGCGCTGGGCTGGGCGGGGCTGGGCATGCAGCGGGGACTCAGGTCAGGCATAGTCCCCCCTTGAGCTGCTTCCTGGGGAGAAAAGTGGCAACAGATGTGGAAACAAACTCGGCGCTAAGAAGCCTCCAGTGGTCACAAATCTAGGAGGGAAGCGAAGGGAGCTCACGGCATAGCAGGTGCCCTGGGAGGTTTTAGCGAAGCGTGGTGGTCAGAGAACATTCTGGGAGGGGGTTGCATTCAAGCAGAGGCCCATGTGAGTGAGAAGGAGCCAGAGATGGGACGTTCTGTGGAAAGAACATCCCAGGCAGAGAGAAGAGCAGACGCCAAGGCCTGGACGTAGGCCAAGCCCTGCCTGAAGCTCCGAGAGTGTCAGGTGTCAGCACGGCTGCGGGGAATCCCACCCTGAGCTTCCCACGCGGCCAGGCCCACGCACAGCACTCGGCGTCTCTGAGCCGAGGTCCTCATCTTCCACTGAGTGGGCAGTCCTCACCCCTGGCCATGCGAGCTCGGAGGAGTCGATGAGACATTTAAGAGGTCCAGCCTGGTACACAGCCTGGAGGAGGCACTCAGAGGAGCCTGGTGGTGGACGGTGATGTCTAACTCGCTGTGGTCCTTCCTTTTCTCCTACAGTTTCCTGCCCCGCTCTGAACGCCCCTCGAGATGGCAGGAAGTTTGGAAGCAAGTACTTAGTGGATCACGAAGTCCATTTTACCTGCGACCCCGGGTTCCAGCTGGTGGGGCCTAGCAGTGTGGTGTGTCTTCCCAATGGCACCTGGACCGGGGAGCAGCCCCACTGCAGAGGTCGGTCCCTCCTAACGGTCCCCGGGGCTGGGCCCTGTTGGGGAGCAAGGCTCATTCCTCGGGACCCTTACCACTTGATGCCTCCACCATTTTCAACCGCAGGAAAGCGGGCACAGTGTCTGATGACTCAGCTCCACCTGTCCGAGCTCCCTAAATCCTCCCTACAATTCAGTCTGGCTTTGCATATGGGGAAATTGAGGCACAGAATGCCCAAGACCACAGCGCTGGGGGACAGGCAGGGCTGATCCACACGCAGACACTCTGACCCCAGCGTCGGTTCCTCAGCACCTCGCTCTGCTCTTACCGATGGGGCCGAGACGCCTTCTGGGGGTTGTGGGGAAGGACAAGAGGGAGACGCTGCACAGAAACGCTCCTCCTGTCTCATTTGCTCTGGGCTGCCGTTTGCTTGTGAGGCTGCGGGTGGCCTGTGGGGTTGAAGAAGTCCCTCAGGTGTTGACACCTTTGTGTCTGATGTGGGACTTGGTGTGACCGGCTCTGGGGAGGCCGCTGGGTGAGAGGGAGGCATGAAAGCCTTCTCTTCTCTCTGTTGGGCTTGAAAACAGGACTTCTTTGATGCTGAGAGCAATCAGACTTGGCACACGTCACGTGTTGGCTTTTCAAAAATGTGTGGTCCAATCTTCATGCATACCAGTCATTTTCAGGGTCGGGCTCAGAGCACATCTGCCGGGGCAGAATGTCCATGATGTAGTCCAAGAAGTGCAGGGGAAACACAAATAGGACACGAACAAGTAGGTTTTGAAGAACAGCATCTGAACGCGTGAGTAGCTCGCAAACATACAGGAGCATCAGCAATGCACCATCTCTCCGGACGGGAGGGTTGGCCTGAGAAGCACAGGCAGCAGCGCCACACTCGTGGGTCTAGGCTTGGGATCCCAGCTCCTGGGAAGAACGTGGTTTGCAGGGTGATTACAGGTACCAGCTCTCAGACCAATCAGCAGCTAGCCAGGAAATGCAAGGGGTGTCCCAGGCGGACACACAGGGGACCTGCATCTGGATTTCCCTTGACCCTGAGAGATTTCCATCATCTCCTATAGAGACAAAGAAAAGAACAAAAGGTTTTTTCCCTGGTGATGAGCGCTCTTAGGGTTTACTCTCTTCACCACTTTCCTGTGTGTCCTACAGCCTTGCAGCTACAGCCGCCAGGCTTGGCACTTACTTATAACTGGGCGTTTGCACCTTTGTCTCTGTATCCCTTATAAACTGGGAGGTAACTCCAGCGGCCTGGCCAGCTCAGGGCAGAGTTTTGTTTTGTTTGGGCCGGATAGCACTCTAGACGTCTGCTGGGGAGTCCCCGCCGTGGTCCTCTCCCTCCTGTGACGCTGCCCCTTGGTGACGTCGCCGTCCTCATGCAGACATCTCCCCGGTCGGTCCCTCCTCAGGCAATTCCCGGAGTTCTCCAACGTTCCCAAAAGGTGCAGCTTTTCCATCGGGTGTCATTTCAATGGGACATAAAACACCCGTGAGATTCCTCTCCTTGAGCATCTTCAATATGTTCCTCTGTGTCTTCTGTTTTCACGATGCTGTTGTTGCCATCATGACTAAGACATCTCTTGAACACACAGTAACCTGTTACTGGCCTTCCTAGGCCAGGTTCCTCGGGTGTGGGCTCGTGTGTTCAAGAGGGAATCTCTGTCTCTGGAGCAGTCTGGCCACTGGCAACGCGCAGGGCGTTCCGGGACAGGCCCCAATATGGTGGAGACTCCACGGGAGAAGAATCCAAATGGAGCCCAACAAGGAAAATCGGTGCAGATGGAAGAGATGGTCCAGACAAGAGTGGGGGGGATTGACAAGGCAGAGCTGAGCAAGTGTCCAACGCAGAAAACAACAGGCCTGTGACCTGGAGTGAGGGAGCTCGCAAAGCTCCACAGGAGAACTTACTTCCCTGAGGATGAGTCATAGGAAAGGACTTGACAAGCCCATACAAACTATGGTAGGAAAACAGAGAATAAAGTCTACAGCCAATGGAGAAATGCCAGAAAGACATGCCCACAGAACCGATGAAAGCTGTGACTAATATTTCCGAACAAGCAGCAAGAAATTTTAAAAAGATAAAAACGGTGAAAGGACGGCATACGTAAAAGAAAACCTCAGAAACGAGGTGATGGGAGTAATGGGAAGTTTGAAACTAGATGACAGAACACAGGAAAGAGTGAGAAATAAAGGGACAAGAGGTCAGATCATGCGCGTTAAACACAGCTCAGGTCCAGGGACACAGTAAGTGCTCACTTCACAGTAAGTTGGGCGACAGAATCATCACAGTGCTTTTTGCTTTTTGAGCCTCACCCGCGGATATGTTTTTATTCATATTTGAGAGAAAGAGAGAAACATTGATGTGAGAGGGAAACATCGATTGGTTGCTTCCTGCACCCACCGTGACCGGGAATCGAACCTGCAACCTAGGTATGTGCCTTGACCTGAAATTGAACCCACAACCCTTTGGTGAATGGGACGATGCCCAACCCACTGAGCCACGCGACCAGGGCTCATCACAGTGCCTTTGCCTTCCCAGCCTCTCCACAGCTTCTCCAGTGCCCCCTTTGCAGCTGTGAAGTCGCCACGCACTTAACGAAGTGCCCTTGCCTGGGACAGACACGATGTGATGACAGCGGAACTTCAGTCGGGACATAGTTGGCACGCATGGCACGCCTCCAAGAGTGGATCAAGATAAGAGTCTGTGTGGGTCCTGTCTAGAAATGAAAACCTGGGGCACCTGGGTACCACCCCCACCCCACCTGCACCCCATTGTCCAGGTGCAACTGGGCTCGGTGCCTCCTGCTGGAGGCCTGGCTGGGGACAGGCCATGGCGCTGGTCCCGCCGGGGCCAGAATGAAAGACGCCCGTGTTCAAATCCTGGCTCTGTGCCCACGACCTCAGGGCCTCAAGGTCTGCTGCTTTCAGACGTTGCTGGTGAGAACCAATAGGCTGGACGATGGGTAGAAACGGGAGCTCTGAGCCCGTGGCTTTGTGTGCAGTGTGGCTCCAGGCACATTCCTGGAAACCCCTCATCTGAAAACAGAGCCTGTGGGGGGAGCACTGCCAGGTTGAGGTCGCTGAGAAGTTGAAATGGCTCCTCCCAGCATCTGGATGGTCTGGGTCCTTCCGTGATGGAGACAAACCATGTCACAGTCTACAGGACACCCCAGTCATGAGGAGGCCAACCCGCCCCACGAGGCTGCAGCTCTCATCAGGAGCAAAGACCTTCCTTTCCTCTCGAAGGACACGGCAGGGAAGGATGCTCGGGTGCCACTCGGGGCGTTTTGGACCGTCCCCAGGACGCTGTGGTCAGCCCGGGGAACCCCTGGTGCCCGAATGCCACCACCAAAACTGGGCTTACGGGATTCACAACACGCAGATGGGGCCTGAGGGTTTCAAAATATCATTTCCCCCCCTGATTTGGAAATTTATAAATGTTTATTGTGGAAACAAAGTGTAAATAAGAAAAACTACCAACAGAGAAAAACCTATTACACTGTTAAACATGTATCTCTCTATGGAGCTTCTCCACCGGACTGTGTGTAGATGAACAAGGAACCGTTTCCTTTTCCAGCATTAAGGAGAGGTCAAGGGTCAGGAGAACTGACAGGAGGGCTTCTAGGTGGGACTGGAAAGTGCATTTCCCCATCTCTGTACATTCCATGGGCCATCCCTCCCTCCCTCGTATAACTCCCCCAAACTGAGCTCCCATCCAAAAGGTGTTCTGCCTGGGAGCTGGCTGACAGGCAGGTGATGGGCTGCACCCACCCGCAGAGCTCCAGGCTGGCAGGCACGTGGCCTGCAGAGGGAGGGTGGGCTGCATCTGAGCTCCTGCAGCAGGCGGTGGCAAGGGCAGAGTGGGGAGGCGGAGTGCCCGAGGCAAACTGCGACGTAAAGACGGTTCATCCATCTTGTGTTTTGTTTGTTTGTTTTAGAATCTGAACTCAGACTTGTGATTGAAAATGATTTATCTTCCTAGATATCAGCGAGTGCGCCAGCCAGCCTTGCCAGCATGGCGGGACGTGTTTAGAAGGAGTCAACCAGTACACGTGCATCTGCCCTCCAGGAAGGACCGGGAGCCGCTGCCAGCACCAGGCCCAGACTGGTATGTGGCCGTGAGGGGCTGGGTGAGGACATAGCTGCCGGGGGACCCTGGTCAGGGGCCACCAGATGCACGCACGCCAGTGTGGGCTCTTCCTCTCTGCACCACATCCATTGATCTCTCTGGTTCCCCGAGGCAGGTACTGGGGACGGAGTTTAGCTCTTTTGTGTAACCAGAGTTTTGAACCTTTTTATGGAAGAAAATTCAAGTGGAAGGACCGATTCACAGCCTGAAAAGTCCCCAGGTTGGGGCTGGGCTGAGCTGTTTCCTTGCGGCCACCTTCACGTGTCAGTGTTTCCCCTGCAGACCTACAGAGTGACTTCCTGTCCCATCACACCTGCAAGTCCGCGGCTGCTGTTAGAGGCCAGGCGTCTTTAGAGCTGGGCAACTATTCATCTGAGTGGTGGGGAGGTTGTCCGCACGGAGTCCCCGCCTATCTCCAGCCAGAAGGCCTGGGAGACACACCGTGGCTGCAGTGCAGATGGCAGGAAAATGCAATACGGATTCGATAGGGGTGGACGGGGTTCCTACACTGCGGTGCAACCAAAATGACATAAATAGGTCAGATCCTAAGTATATCCTGCTCCTTTGCCCCCAAAGCCTGGCACGTCCTGTGTGATTTCTGTGTGGCATCTCAGTGTGGGGGGAGCATCGGACGGTTAGCACAGTATCCGGAGAGTAGGAGCTTAGTCAAGACTCAGCGTCCTTGCACTGGACTCAGCCCAAGGTCACCTGTAAGTGTTGCCCCCAGAGATTTGCTGCTTTACGTGTCCTGATTCCATTCAGCCTGCTGGGAGTTTTCTCAGGACGAGGCTGCCCTGCCAGGAGCCCTGAGTCCCTCCAGCTGGTCACCAGGGGGCTGCTCTGTCAGACGGAGGTGGGAGGTGGGCCCTTCTGGGCAGCCCCACTGCCTCTCCTTACAAACAGGACAGAAAAGGAAATGGGCCCCTCGCAACCGAAATGTGCTGGTCCTGGAGGCTGACGGCTTCTGCCATCAGGACCTCTAGGCAGCTGTTCCTCAGGCCCAGGGGCACTTCATGTATAAAGTATCCCATGATGGGGACCCCCCACCCAGGAAGGGAAGGAGGGAGTGACGGGTGCACCAAAGCCAGCTCCCGCCTCACAGCATCATGGACCTTCTACCAGACGCCCGGGAGCTTCCTCACCTGTGTCTTTCCAGCCCCGTGGGGGGAGTCTCCCGCTCAGTACTTTTTCTTAAACCCAGTCACCTGCTTTTTCTGTCGTGGTGAAATGCAAACAACATAAAAGTTGCCATTTTAAGTGTAGGGTTTGGTGGCAGGTTCAGTGGCCCAAAGTACGTTCAAGTTGTCCTGCAGCCACCCATCCCCTGAGCCTTTTCACGTGTCAGAGCTGAGACTCTGCGCCCAGCACCTCCCCTGGCAACCCTGCTACTTCTGTCTGAATCCGACTCCTCTCGGGACCATTAAGTGGCAGGAACCCCACAGTCTGTGTCCTGTTGTGCATCCCCTTACTCTCACCCCCATTCCTACAGCCTCCCCCAACCTTTGACAACTTCCAAAAACGAACACTTTTTTTCTGATTAGAAAGTTGATTTCTGTTCTTGGTTCAAAAACAAAAAGAAAAACGTAGAAAAGAAAAAGAATACAGCACAAAAGAAACCTCCAGAAGTGGATGCGAACTGCGGTGCCGGCTGGGCTGTGGGCACTGGGTGTGTGCCACGCCTTTCTGAACAAAGAGGCGGTTTCTCTGACCTTCGCCCTCGCCTGGCCTCGGTGCAGCGCGTGTGCCGACCGCGGGGTGGGCGGTCTGCGGGGGTTTTGGTGACTCCCCCTCCCTCTTCCTCCGCCTGCAGAGTGAGCTCTCCTTCGGGCTCCCGGCCTTTCCTGAGGCCCAGGAGACAGGGGGGCGGCCCTGACTCCTCTTCTCCCCGCAGCCGCCCAGCGCCAGGC